GGATTAGATAGTATTCAAAGCTTTGTGTATTTCTGACACCACATTAAATGTTTAAAAATGGTCATTACTGAACAGGGATTAGATAGTATTCAAAGCTTTGTGTATTTCTGACACCACATTAAATGTTTAAAAATGGTCATTACTGAACAGGGATTAGATAGTATTCAAAGCTTTGTGTATTTCTGACACCACATTAAATGTTTAAAAATAATCATTACTGAACAGGGATTAGATAGTATTCAAAGCTTTGTGTATTTCTGACACCACATTAAATGAAAAATAATCATTACTGAACAGGGATTAGATAGTGTTGTTGAAATAGGAAGGTTTTTTTTTACAGTATTATTAGATGGGTCTGAAATAGAGGTAGGGAATAATAAGGTTGAGTTTCTTTTCTGTTAGACTGGAAATCAAATACAAAGAGTTCAAGAACACAAAGGCACCATCAATGATCTTCAACATTACAAAGATCAAAGTATGTTCATTACTGCTTCGAAAGACAAAACGGCCAAAGTAAGTAAACTAGGGTTAAGTGTGAGTCATTATTTGGAATGGGTTAGTGTTTAAGAGAAGTGCAAGCCTGAGCAAATCCTTTTTGAGTCTTTGTGAAATTTAACTTGTTTGGTGTTAATGTAGTTAATTAATGGTGTCTTCGTAAGAAGTTTAACGATGTTAGTTATACTTATACAATATAAAATTATTTTTTAAATAGTGATATTAATGTATTACTCTGTTTTGTTTTATACTAATTATAAAACAGAACTTGAAATCTTTTAAGCTTAAGAGAATGTATTTTTTGTCTTTTTAGGATCTAGATATCAATTTTTTATGTTTTATTTTAAATAATTGAGCCTCACAAATAATTATTTTTCATTCCCCAGCTATTTGATACAGCAACTTTTGAACATCTAAAGACATACAAAACTGAGAGACCCGTGAATTCTGCTGCTATTTCTCCAATCAGAGACCACGTAAGTTTTATCTTTAAGTCAAGGACCACTTAGTTTTTATTTGTTCATTTAGGAACTGTGTATCATTAATGTTCAATCTTGCATACAATATTTTTAGTAAACTTCAGTGTCAGGACTATCACTGAGAGCTCTGATTTTGACGCAGTATTTGTTTATTGTATTTTAATTTGTTTTTTAAGTTAGACATTTCATGCTATTTATAATTAAGATTATACTGAGTTAATATTTAACAGTGACGTATCATTAGTGCTAGTTTAAAACACACGTTAGCTATTTGAAAATGTATGTATATATATTAATCTTGTGACGAACCAGCTCCTGAAATTTCTGTGATGGTAAGCTTTACATTGTCTGTGGCCCCAAATGTTTGTTTTGTTTACAGTTGTATTTCATGACCTGTGCATTAGATGGCAGCACATGTCAGTAACACATGCGTGTATTATGGTATATAAATTTTCGTCTTTTCTTCAGTGTCACTCATCAGCTGTCAGTGATTGACAGACATGACATCTGCAGAGAAGTGTAATCTGTGCAGGGTTTTTTATATATATATATATAGTGTTAATCAATCTAGTGAAAAAAAGGAACCGTAGTATTGTTAAATTCTAATAATCTGAGCATCTCATGTTGGGAACCACGCTATTGTTAAGCCTAAATTTTTGCAATGAACTGATAGAAAACACTTATTCATTTATGAAAGTAAATGCAGTATTTAGTTCACATAAACATGCTATAGCATTGATAAACAAATCAGAAAGTAAAAACGTAGGTTTAAAATCTTTCAAACCCCAAGGAAAATTTGGGGCCTGATAAATAACCTGGGATGGTCAGAAACTTTTGTTTCTCTTCACCCCGCGTGGTGAAAAGGTTTAAGCCAAATGGATATGACAGAAGCCACTGGGCCTAATTTTGTTTAAATATGTTGAGTATTTTGTTGAGAGGCATGATAAAATGTGAAGAAACTGTCGAATGGTAGCCTTGGTAGAAGCGTGTTGTTGTTTATCCTCGTGGTGGCGGTGTCAGTCGTCAAGGGATGGAGCAGAGAGATGCAGACTGAGTGAATAAGATTCTGTTTGATTTGTTTCCGAATGAAATCTTTGTGAAGTTAAAGTGGTATTACATCCTGTGGAAGCTCTCCACCATTTTAAATATATTCTCAACTTTGTGAAGTTAGTGGTATTACATCATGTGGAAACTCTCCACCATTTTAAATATAGTCTCAACTTTGTGAAGTTAGTGGTATTACATCGGGTGGAAACTCTCCACCATTTTAAATATAGTCTCAACTTTGTGAAGTTAAAGTGGTATTACATCGTGTGGAAACTCTCCACCATTTTAAATATAGTCTCAACTGTATGAAGTTAGTGGTATTACATCGTGTGGAAGCTCTCCACCATTTTAAATATAGTCTCAACTTTGTGAAGTTAAAGTGGTATTACATCGTGTGGAAACTCTCCACCATTTTAAATATAGTCTCAACTTTGTGAAGTTAGTGGTATTACATCGTGTGGAAACTCTCCACCATTTTAAATATAGTCTCAACTTTGTGAAGTTAGTGGTATTACATCGTGTGGAAACTCTCCACCATTTTAAATGTAGTCAAGCAACAACAGTTGTGTAAGCTACCCATGGTTTATACCTCTACACTCCTACTAAACAGAGTATCACAACCATATGTGATTCACATGACAGAAAGTAAATATGGCCTATCTTGTGTTTTGTTTTTAAAAAAGAGTATAAAACAGTGGTTGCCAATGTGAGAGCCAGCTGGTTCTCATCCCAGAATTTCGTATAGTAGCAACATTTCTCTCTTTAAGTATTTCAGTAGAATGATATACTTCAGTAATTGTATTTCAAAATACATTTTTTTTTCTTCAATCATCTTGCAGACTGGGTTAAACCTCCTGGTGGACCAACATGGTCTGTAGACTAGCAGCTGAGAATCACCGGTATAAAATATACTGAAAGTGTGGGCTGCAAAAAAAAACAATCTCAATAAGGGCAACAGAGTGAAAAACGTATCATTTTACAATATTCATTTTGTATAATTAGATTAACTGTTTCCATAGGAAATTGATAGATTACATCAACGTTGCAACCATCAGTTTCCATACTATAACTTTTAATATCTTCATAAAATTTGGTAAACATTACAAGTCTTTTGTACACAAGAATAAGATTTTTTAATTAAGTATTTTTACTAAAGATTTGCCCGTGAATATATGGAATCAGAGTGTTGACTGCTCTGAGTGCAAAGTGATTTTCATGTTAAGATTAAGAATACTTTTCTCCACCTGAAAATTTTCATATTTCATTTGTGTAACCTCTAAAAACCTCCAAAATATATATTACATTTTTTTTTCAGTTAAAACTAATATTTTGTCTGTTATTTTCTCTACCTAACTCCATATGGTCGATTTGTCTAACTTTTGTAACTACCATAAAAAAAGTACAAAATCAATCTAAATTACCCTTCTTTTCCTTTCTACAATGACTGCAAATTGTAACATGAAACTACAATTGTTTTATCCTAAATAGTTTGAGGCTCATAACAATATACATCTGTTTTTACTCTTTGAATCATGTTTAGTAAGTAATCCTGCCATTTAAGTTGTAAAACACATGAGCTACTTGCAAGGATACCTCAGTGAGGATTATTATTATTTTTCATTATCTTACCTATTCTAATAAATTTCTAATAAAAAAATATAACAACTTTCAACATCTTACTTTGTTGTTGTTGGCTACTTATGAAATTTAAGCCTACTTTTTTGTAATGATTGTAATAGTACATTAAATATTTTTTATTTATTTAAAGAATAAACCTAAGAACACAGAATAATAACACGCACAAAGCAAACATGTCCTATAACTGTTATAATTTAACTAGTTTTGTAACTAATGTATTAGGGTCTTAAAATAATTCCCTTAGCTTCTAAATCTGAACACCACAAAAGAAGCTTTCAAACTAAAGACTGTACTGAAAACTGTGTAACATTATAGTCATTTGATAGATTAAAATTTGTCTTTCTATTGGTTATAAATGATGTAATAGAAAATATGAGCGAGAATTATTGACAATTGGTGAAAGAGATGATGTGACAGGTGGGTGTGGCAAGTGGATCTGATCTAGTTTATGACTTCTCAAACAAATAACATTGAGTGCTTTAAGAATCACAGTTTGCCTTAGTAATATCTATATGTCACGATTCTCATACGAGGGGAGATTGAGGATTTATTTAAATATTTCCTTTTAAAATTAAGAAATTAAAACATATATAATATTAACATTTGATTTATTATGTTTTGACGCCAAGTTTATTCGTATACATTGATAATAAAGTAATTTAATGATATTTTGAATGTAAGTGTGTAAAAGGTCGTGATGTATCTTTAACCTACCTATTGTAAGATGGTTACAGTTGGTTCAGTTCGAGCTCTTTACACTACAGATCAATTTTAAAACGAGTTTTAGACCAGGTCTCACAATTGATTTGATCATACATACTAGAATGAAATATACTTGTTAAACAAACTTTGATCCAATTATATGTACGATATGGTAGTATATATAAATGTAGTAACTTGTAGTAATGATATAGTAGTATATATAAATGTAGTAACTTGTAGTAACGATATAGTAGTACATATAAATGTAATAACTTGGTTAGTTGACTGTAATTATTTATTCATTGATTTTTGTACTGAAATTTACTGCCGAATATAAGAAAAACATTCACATATAAGTTATGGTTTATGCTTGTTACTGGATCAAGTATTTCTGTATTCTCTACTAGCTGTTGAAA